CTAACCACTTCTTTGAAAACACATTTTGTTCGGCCTCATCAAGTGTGAGGCCCACGGGACAGCTGTATGCTTTCCCACAGTAAAGCACCTACCACTCTTATTCGTTAACCGCTTTTTCTAAACACACATTGGCGGGAAGCTTATTGCACTCAAAATCGTAAATAAATCTTATGTGTGCAGCATTTAATAGTCGCAAGATGTCACACGTCGTGCGTCGGCGGTGATGTCCACATGCCCACTGCGCATGCTCGCGCCTCGCGTCGCATGCTTGCGTCTCGTGCTGTCTTCTTCCCCTCCCCCACTCTCACGCCTCGCAAGGTCGACGCAGGCAGCGTCTGCTAGTAAAAACCGACTGCTATAGCGGCGCAACTGAACTGTTCACTGCACCCCACCTTGGTATGTGTAGGCCCTGGATCGCACATCAGCGTCCCACGACTCATTGAAGGCAACGCTTCTCCTCCATTCAATAAATAAAAATAATAAAGGCGAAATAATAGTTTAGCATTCCCGAACCATACGCAATTACGAAACATTCACGCAGTACCACCCCTACCCCCCCCCCCCCCCCTCTGTGACGCATTTGCTCGAGTTTCCCCGTGGGAAGATGCGGGCGGCCATTTTTTAGCTGTTTTGCTTTGCAAAAGCCCTGCCTTAAAGAAAATAGCACTGTCTCTTACCACTTGGGGCTACGAACGCTTTCGTATGAACTACGGTCTTGATTATTTCTGCCACGGTCCTTTTTGCAAACATGTTGTACTAGGCTTTTTTTCTAGTGGTAGTGTGTGACAAAAGGACTCGTCCACGCTGCCAACACGCTGGAGAGCTATTGATCAACGTAAAGGCAGTGCGCTGTCAATCACAAGTTTCCGCATTTTACTCAATGCGACGGCAAGTGCGTCCTCACCAGTCTGTTAAGGGCAACCAACTCGACGGCAAACGCGGTGAAAATGCGGATATTTATAGGGAAAAGCCATTCCTCCACATTTTTCACCGCTTTTCACCAGATTTGTCTGGTGTATCTGTTCTGCAACATCAACACCAGCATTCTACAATACTCACCAGATTTTTCGCAATCTGGTTGTCTAGCGACACTGACGCCAACAATTTGCAAGAATCTAAAAAAAAAAAGAGAACAACTTTGCAGCACGCTTTTATTTTGCACGGAAAGGGGAGTAGGCCCCTTTCTTCTTTCACAGGATGCTTTTCCAGCTCGTTGTATAAAGGTGCCTGTTCATGTGAAAGTGCGCTGACCAGAGGTCAGCCATGAGGCGCAACGATGTTATACCAATCCTTGCAAAAAAAAAAGTAATGCTTGCATACCTTCAGGATTCATGATAATGAAAGCGTGATTCGAAGGGGGGGGGGGTGCAAAAAACGCCGAAGCAGCTGCAGGTTGCAGTCGCGAAGTCAAAAAACTTCCAAATGATGGTTGAAAACCACGTCATAGAAAACACCCCACAGGAAGTAAAACAGTATTTTGACATTCCATTATACTACTGCCTCCTCAAAGGTGGTGGTAAATGTATGTTACGTCCAACCTTTTACGCTAACGCGAGGGAGTCATTTTAAACACGAGGGAGTTTTTAGTGGTCACGAGCCTCAAGAACTCCAATCTTGAATAGTTTTTGCTTACAGTGCGGAAAGTGGTGTAGGCAAATGTGTGGCCATCTAACCAGCTCGAGCTCATTAGGTTGGTACACGCTAAACCTTGTACCGTTATCTTAGCACCACTGTTCTTATTTTCTTGAATAAGTTGGTGGTTACTTTTTGCATTATTCTTTGATTAATAACTATGTTTGGGAACCCTTATTCTTCGTCAAGCTCTCAATATTTCATCTGCAAGTGTGCAGAAAAATTTGCACTGCGACAAGTATTATTTTGAACATATACTCTTAGAAAAAAGGTGGTAGTACTTGCTAACTTTGGGGTAGTAATGGTTCGTCACATATTTTACAACCCTGGTAGTAAGCGCAGTTAGTAACGGGGAGGTTGGTAACAGTTACTACCTCTGCGGTTACTACCAGCATTTAATAACTGTTACTACCCTAGCCATTACCAACCATGGATAGTAACATTTTTAAAGAAAAAAAGTAGTAACCGATACTACCTTGTTCATTCATTTTGGCATATTATTTCTCCGCTGTAATGTTGGTCAATCAATGATCTCATTACTACACAACTTCGGATAATAAAGCGCGGTGTGCCATGAACGCGAAAAAGCGGAAGGCCTTCCATCAGGATGAGGGAGGGCAGGTTTAACCAGAGCGCTGCCCCTAAATACACCCACGCATTCGCACGCACGCACACACGTACGTACACGTACGAACGCACAGACACAGCACACGCACGTGACCGCTTGCTCACTCACTCGCTCACTCACTCACTCACTCACTCGCTAGCTCACTCACTCACTCATGGAGAAGACCTAAACTGCGCTTAGCACTCATGGCGAAGGCCTAAACTGCGCCTAAACACAAACACACGTGCACTCACACTCACTCACTCGCTCACTCGCTAGCTCACTCACTCACTAACTCATGGCGAAGACCTAAACTGCGCTTAGCACTCATGGCGAAGGCCTAAACTGCGCTTAGCACTCATGGCGAAGGCCTAAACTGCGCCTAAACACAAACACACGTGCACGCACGCTCGCTCACTCATTCACTCACTCACTCACTCACTCACTCACTCACTCACACCGAATCGGTTGAGTCCTTAAGAACGCTAACGTCACAATGAATGCGAAATGGAAGTGATGCGATAGCGTGGCTCTCAGAACGTCCTTCCTTAGTTCCCGGCTTTTCGCGGAAAAATGTGCGAGGTAGACTGTACGAAGGATGCGAAATCAGGGGGCCCTGGACCACCAGTATGATGAAAGACTTGCATGGTCATTACTTCGTGCAGTGGAAGTACTGACCTGCCTATAGGCAGTCTTGACACCATTTTTGCTTAATTAGGGCCCCTTATCCTTTGCTCCTCTGCATGCGAGCCTACGGTATTGAGGACTATTTCAGAGGTTTAGTTTGTGCTTACCGGTCCGCATCGCGCAGTTTTGCAAACTGCAGACTCAATAGGCAGGTCAGCGTCGGTCCCACCTTGGAACCCGGCAATGGCTCCTCGCCGATGGCCCCGACCCAAACGTCGATATTGTCTGAGAAAAAGTAGACGTACATGCATATAATGGTCAAACAACAAAAAGAAATGATAGTTTTACGCTATAGAAAATTCTTTAACATCAACACATCGACTGAAGTATATCTCACGAGTTTATTTGTTGTTGTTTTGTTGTTTGTTGTTTTTTTTAGATTTGATACCGAAGTATAGAAGACATAATATCCGTACTTGAAATGGAATGGCTGGCAAAGAAGCTCGGGTTATGGTTTGCTCTATCTCTAGCGCTCCCTATTTCTGGCGTGCAACGGAGTTGCAATGTTAATTACGAATGCGTTTAGAGTGTAAGTCCTCTTGACTTTTCACTTTGGGTCGCCCCGCCGCGGTGGTCTAGTGGCTAAGGTACTCGGCTGCTGACCCGCAGGTCGCGGGATCGAATCCCGGCTGCGGCGGCTGCGTTTCCGATGGAGGCGGAAATGCTGTTGGCCCGTGGGCTCAGATTGAGTGGCGCTTAGCACTCATGGCGAAGGCCTAAACTGCGCCTAAACACAGACACACGTGCACGGCACACTCACTCATCCTCGCTCACTCACTCGATAGCTCACATCACTCACTCATCATGGCGAAGACCTAAACTGCGCTTAGCACTCATGGCGAAGGCCTAAACTGCGCATAAACACAGACCACGTGCCACGCACACTCCTCACATCACTCACGTCGCTCACCACTCGCTAGCTACTCACTCACTCACTCACTCATGGCGAAGGCCTAAACTGCGCTTAGCACTCATTGCGAAGGCCTAAACTGCGCCTAAACACAGACACACGTGCACGCACACTCACTCACTCACTCACTCGCTAGCTCACTCACTCACTCACTCATGGCGAAGACCTAAACTGCGCTTAGCACTCATGGCGAAGGCCTAAACTGCGCCTAAACACAAACACACGTGCACGCACACTCACTCACTCACTCGCTCACTCACTCGCTAGCTCACTTACTCACTCACTCACTCATGGCGAAGACCTAAACTGCGCTTAGCACTCATGGCGAAGGCCTAAACTGCGCCTAAACACAGACACACGTGCACGCACACTCACTCACTCACTCGCTCACTCACTCGCTAGCTCACTCACTAACTCACTCACTCATGGCGAAGACCTAAACTGCGCTTAGCACTCATGGCGAAGGCCTAAACTGCGCCTAAACACAGACACACGTGCACGCACACTCACTCACTCACTCGCTCACTCTCTCACTCACTCGCTTGCTCACTCACTCACTCACTCATGGCGAAGAGCTAAACTGCGCTTAGCACTCATGGCGAAGGCCTAAACTGCGCCTAAACACAGACACACGTGCACGCACACTCACTCACTCACTCGCTCACTCTCTCACTCACTCACTCGCTTGCTCACTCACTCACTCACTCACTCACTCACTCACTAATGGTGAAGGCCTAAACTGCGCTATAGCACTCACGGCGAAGGCCTAAACTGCGCCTAAACACAAACACACGTGCACGCACGCTCACTCACTCACTCACTCACTCACAGCAAATCGGTCGAGTCCTTAAGAACACTAGCGTCACTATGAATGCAAAACGGAAGTGATGCGATAGCGTGGCTCTCAGAACGTCCTTTCTTAGGTCCCGGCTTTTCGCGGAAAAATGAGGGTGCAGACTGTACGAAGGATGCGAAATCAGGGGGCCCTAGGACACCAGTATGATGAAAGACTTGCATGGTCATTACTTCGTGCAGTGGAAGTACTGGCCTGTCTATAGGCAGTCTTGACACCCTTTTGGCTTAATTAGGGCCCCTTATCCTTTGCTCCTCTGCATGCGAGCCTACGGTTTGGAAGACTATTTCAGATGTTTAGTTTGTGCTTACCGGTCCGCATCACGCAGTTTTGCAAACTGCAGACTCAATAGGCAGGTCAGCGTCGGTCCCACCTTGGAACCCGGCAATGGCTCCTCGCCGATGGCCCCGACCCAAACGTCGATATTGTCTGAGAAAAAGTAGACGTACGGGCTTAATATGGCAAAACAACAAAAAAAGATAGTTTTACGCTATAGAAAATTCTTTCGCATCAATACATCAACTGTATCTCACGAGTTTGTTGTTTTTTAGATTTGATACCAAAATATAGGAGGACACATACTATCCGTACTGGAAATGAAATGGCTGGCAACTAAGCTCAGGTTATGGTTTGCTCTATCTCTAAGGCTCCCTAATTCTGGCGTGCAATGGAGTTGCAATATTAATTACACATGTGTTTAGAGTGTAAGTCCTTATGACTTTTCACTTTAGGTCAAGTGCGCGATTGATATTGAAAGAGAGCCGTAACACTCCCCATAGAAAGGTTTTTAAAAAGTCGAACTGACATTAACACACTAATGTTCACCAATCTTACAAGTTTGAGTAAAGCGATGGTGACGCCAAGTACATATTACTGCGATGAGAAAGTCATTTCAAGCTTAGACGTTGCTAAATATAGCTCCGGAGTTTTTCGACACGTCGATCAATTTGGCCGTCAATGTGACTTGCTAGTCTACGGGCTAGGTCATATGGGGCAGAACATTCGCTTGAAAAGGAGCATTTGACGACACTAATAATGAAGCAACCATTTCTTCCAACGAATAGTAATTCTCTATCAGCTGTGTGCTGCCTTGCTTGGTAGCTTCGTGGTCTCATTCATCTCTTTTTACCACACTTGTTATGCGCACCACGAGCTACCCACTTTCAGTAACCGCGCTACTAGTAAAGTAATCGCAGCCTTGAAGAGGACGAATCCGCTTGCCGAAACGTCATCTTCAGCGACGTGAGACGATAAACTGATGATAATAATCTTTATCAACATCCCTACTGGAGAAGTGTTAGGCCTTGTAATCACTTACCCTGCCTGTAACTGTCATGTGCCACTCCATCTAGCACAGTATAACATGCGGCTGCCTTGTTTTCAAGCAAGCCTCTGTTATGATGCTCAGTTATGTGCTCTGTATTATAACGATTCCGGTTCTCTTAATCTCTTATTCGCCTTTTTTTTTCATTCATATTAGAAGAGTCTGTCGCTTATAAAAGCCCCTCACTAGCTAACACTTCAAAAACATCCAAAAGTACAGCCTCTTGAAGAACCCCTTTTCATGGGTGTTGGGTAAAAAATGTTGAGATTCCCTTAGTTTGTCAAGCTATGACAACTATTCTGGTTCGTATATAACTGAAAACACCAGTAGCACAGTTGCTATGCGTTACAAGAAGTATTTAGCCCGGCGCGAGTTAAATGGAGAAAGCTGACAATATTAATGACAGTGGATATTCGAGCTGCATGTTTCGTACTTTTCCCAGTCTGTAGTGAATGAGCCTTAATACTTAGAAGACTTTGACTGGGCAGCACGTGCCGACGAATCGTTACTGTTTGAAAATCAGCTCACCGGGAGTCTTGTAGAGGCGCTCCAGTTTGCGTCTGAGCTCGGCGCTGGGTATTTCGCGACTCAGGTCGTCGAAACTCTCGGCCCGCGAGAGGTTGCAGAACTGACGCCACTTGTTGTATCCCGGCATTCCGTGGTCGCGACCACGTTGGATGTTGAATGATGCCAAATCTTGAGCCACTACCAGGGCGGGCTGCGTTATGCAAAATTAGTTTTAATAAATAAATAGTACTACTTTACAAGCCGGGTATCCATGAACATCATATACCAGGGTGATCTGTAAAAAGGGACACATGAAGGAATGAGACGAGCACACTCTGTCACATGAGTTGATGCAAGTTTTGGAAATGTTGTTATTCTATTTAGGCATCTGGCTAGCATAGAGTGAAATAGGATGTCCCATTCTATTTTACTATTTTGTTTTGTTCTATGACCTACGTCATTCTCAGTGTCGTACCCTATAGCGTGCGCGCCATTGGCTACGTTGTGAGTGACGTTGTCAATCCCGTGACCGCCGTGGCGCCGAGCACGCGCGTGTCAGTTCCTTCTGAGAGCTTACACGTGAGTAAGTCACACACGTACAACTCCAGAAGGGCACCGACAGTGGAAACGTGAGATAGCTCGCACTCGCCGGTCCGATGGTGCAGTCCTGGCACAAAAACAGCACCGGGAGGCCGAGTGCCGGCAGCAACTGCGTACCCATGATCCGGCAGCCTTCCAAGCCGTGCTAAAATGCGAACGGGAATGAAAGTGCTAGTCGTGGGCGTATTCTGCAAACCGCACCACTAAGTTAGCTTGCTATGTCAAACTCTTGCGGGCACACAGCATGAACGTTATGATTGTGGGAGCGCGTTCGCCGGGGCGAACGCCCGCTTTCGGCGGGACTTCTTCGAATAGCACTTGGGCTCCGGCTGCGACGTCTGCGACCCCCTGTGGTTCGACAACAACGGCTGTGATTAGCGCATTGCGAAATTAATTTAACCCCTCATTACACTCTTCCATGACCGGGATCATGTGAGGTACAATGAGCAGCACGTGAAATAAACACTGTGGTAAACTCAAGCGATGCGTATGTCCAACATCAATAAGAAGCACGAACTTGTAACCAACAATAATGGAAGCCTTAAGTACAGCATCAGGTTAAACGTATACTGCTAAACACAGGAAGCCGCATATTTCAGCTTTCACTGGTTAACCAATTGCACGGAGGGCTTGGGTAGTGATTTTTTTTTAAGTATGCGCACACGCTGATGTATAAGGCTGGCATAAAGAATCGTTTTACTTGAGGCAACCCATGCGTTCATCATGTGTTGAAAGGTCATAAATGTTTGGCTTTTTGAAGTTATTGCGGAATTGTCGGCAATGACCACGCGGATGAAACCGCTCGGACGGCCCATGACCAGGACTTGCTGACGCCCATACATGCTCTTGAGAACGGGTGCTGCACGGAGACTACAATTACTTTCTCGACATATCACTCTTCTACATTGCAATACGCAAGTTTTTTCCAACATGTGCCTGTATTCGATTGACCCTGATTTAAATTCTTCGTTTGCCATCCGGGCTTTGACAGCGCAATGACACTTTGCTGTGTTCTATGTGGTTGGGCGTGGCATTTATGAATGCGTATTCTTGTCCCATTGAATTGGCCAGCAGTGCGGCATGCAACATTTCCGTCTATGAGGAGACGCTTGAGCACATTTTATGCCACCGCCCATCATACCAATCTGAACGACGGGCTGTGGAAGCCAAGCTCCGTCACCTGGACTCACGGCCACTTACCTAAAAGAAGATCATGGGACCCTGGTCAACGGTCCCGCATACGCGCAAAACCACGAGTGCTTGTGAAAGAACAACAGACCTTTCACAACGCGAACAATGCGAGCTGCCTATTTAACCGTCTCTTTCTTACTCTTCTTTTATTTTCAGGCTCTATCACTTTTCTTTCTACTTTTCCCCTTTCTTCCTCCCAAGTATAGGGTAGCCGACCGAGCCAAGCTTGGTTAACCCCCCTGTCTTTCTCATTTTCTCTCTCTCTCTCTCTCTCTCTCTCTCTCTCTCTCTCTCGAAGGTTGGTATGAATAGGTTTCTGGAATCCTGACGCCAATTGTCCAAATGAAATAGCTCGTATATCAGGTATGGGAAAGGCCTACTTTTAAATATACACGCACTGCAATCGAGGCCGTCATCAGTATTTGATACACATAACGCCATCTCTCAATGGCGTCCGCACATCTCACCGGAGGTGTGGAATAATTAACAAAAAATCATATGTCAAAGAACAAAGCTCACCCTTAGAATCGAAGTTAGACTTAATGTATAATACAGAACCATTCAAATATTCTTGTGAAATCATAATTTAACGAAACGCAGCCCGTCGTTTGAACATTTCCAGTAAGCCTATACTAGCGTTTTATTGATGATACAGTGAAGGATTCCAACCTCTAGGGACCCTTCGTGTTAAGCTGTACGCTAGGAAAAGCTTACCAGCCTGTTCAAGTGGTTCACTTGGGTACGTAAGAGTGGGCCAATTTTTATAACAAGCTTTGTTTGCAAGATTTGATTTCTTTCGCGTAATTTTTGCACCGTTATGGCGCGGCGTGAACATGGGGCCAAAATCCTTGTTATTGCAATGACAAATGGATATTTGTCCTATTCAAAACAAGATCGATCGCTGTCGCATTTTCATGAATGCTCAATTCTAGAGGCAAGTGTACGCTAGCTGTGATACGCTCATGAGTTAAAAGAGAAGGAATGAGCTGGTGTGGCTTGGGAGGTGGGGTGCATAATTCCTTTTTTGAAACTTTCCAGCTAACCCCACGGGCCTTCCGAACTACGGCATCTCGTTTATTCATAAAAACACGTCGCAATATATAGGGACCTATTACATGCGCAGAAGCCCTTTCATCTACTCATCAAACTAGTGGGGCATCCACTTGTAAAAAAAAATTCTACACTGGGTTGAAATAATCAAGTAGATGTATCGCTTGCGCAATAAGCACTTTTCTTTCTAATACAAGAGACCCACATGAGCTCTCGAACTGTCTGGATCTTGACTTCTGCCCAGAATCTCAATATCCCGAAACCATGGTTCACAGGCGCAGCCGTTACAGTGTGCAGGCAAGTGCGCCAGATTGCCTTTTTAGAAAATTTTGTTCATGTTCCCTGGCTCGATCACTCAGGCACCACCGCGTCTACCCTATGTATACGACATGCCGCACGTCAGGGGGATCTCATATACAACTCTGCCCGTGTTGTCGCATCTCGCGCTATTCTCGTCTTTTGTGTGCAGTTGAGATGTCAAACAGTTAGCGGCAACGAAGCGAGACTCGAGTTTTTCTGATGGTATCCCCCACAGCCCTCATCGCTCTGATAGCTTAAGTGCCATAGACCGATCAGCCAGTCAACGAACCAGTGCGCACGTCTGGCAATGCACGTGTCCTTCGAATTTCCGAGCCACTAGAGCTTCGCGCTGAAGCCGTGATAGTACGGCCAGGGAAGGGATGGGGGATTTTTTATTGCAACAGAAGATGATGCCTGTGTTAGCCAGTCCTCAGTTTTTTTTTTATTGTATGGGAAAATTAAGTTCGTGCGTGGCCTGTTTCAACCTGCAGAGTGGAATAATGCGATGATTGTTGATACCCACCTCGTAAGGGTTAGGCGTATTTATTGACCACGAGAGAAAAACAAAGTTAGTTGTAAGTTTGCGATCGTTTGTGTCTCTCCTGTCCTTGTTTATTTGTGCGCAACCTTTGTTATACCTTCCAAGCGTGAACCAACTCACCCCGCTGCAAGTTTTATTGGACCAACCAGGATATAAGAAACGTCAACGCACCTCGAAAAGGTGATCAGTGAGCTCCGAGTTGAGCAGCTGATCGGCCTTTCTCAGCTTGGCGGGAGCTAGGAGCAGGCCTCTCATGAGTGGATCGATGCCACCTTCCCTGAGCATCAAGTGCGGTGCGAAAAAGGCCCTCCTGAGAGGCACCGGGCCTTCGCGCACGGGTCTCCAGTCGGGGCCCAGTCGAAGTAGCACGGGGTTGATCAGGAAGTGACCGAAGCGCATGGCCGCCGTGGCAAACACGTTCACCACTGATGGATTCAGGTCCTCTTTGTAGCCCCTGAAGCAAAATAGCGTTTATATGCGAATGACTACTGCATATAGGGTGCCCTACTTACGTTAGTCAAGGTGTCGTTTACCTCACTTTGGGGTAATTTATCCAAGTCATCATCATCATCATCATCATCATCAGCCTGACTACGTCCACTGCAGGACAAAGGCCTCTGCCATGTTCTTACATGCATACGTCAATAATCCAAGTCACGGGCACACAAAAATGGTATTGTCGACAACGTTGGAGAGAACATCACAAGCGTAATTGCTATGATAACCGTACATGGTATGAATTTTTCGTAGTCGATCACTTGATAAAACTTGGCGAAAATAAGCTGGAATAGCCCTTGTAAGATAGAAATGAAAGCACAAATGGTGAAGAGGTGCCAGCAAAAAAGCTTCGTAGTTTTGTCCACGCAGAGGCATCGTTCAGAGCAATAGCAAGGTTTACTTTTCCGCATGAAATCCCCAGATATTTCATATATAGAAAGGACGGCGCAGCACTACCAAAATGTGACTGGAAAAGAAAGTTCTCCCTCGCGTCGCATAAGTATCGCTATTTTTCCAGTGTCAATAGTTGGCCCAGGTCAGTGGAAGGCCATGCGCCGTGCGGCTTTTTGTTTCACCCTCGTTTGCCAGGAACACTGTTGTGCAAATAACAGAGTTGACAGTGACGTGCCCTTCCGACGATGAAGTATCGCGTGACGTCTCTGCTGTGGTTTCGTGGCTGCATGTTACGTCCCGCATGTGGCGGCGACCGGGCAGGGGCGTAAGCGGATTTTTTTTTCTAGGGGAGGGGAATTATCTCATACTCGGCGAGGGGGTGCAACTCTATAAAATGGGTATTGCAAAATAATTTTTTTTGGGGGGGGAGGTGAGTGCAGAGGCCCCGTGTGCCACACCCTGCGAAGCCCCTGCGACCGAGAGTTCTGCCTGTGCGCCTTTGAGGGTACAATACGGGCAATGCCATCTGCTAAACTGGTCAGCTACATTTAATATACGTTGTCAGTGTTATCTGTGAGACCACATGTTTAGAAAAGCGGTACAAGGCTGATCACTTGCACCCATATAAATAAATAAATAAATAAATAAATAAATAAATAAATAAATAAATAAATAAAACGTCAGATGCTTGTTTTAGTGAAATTTGTTCGGTCGGAAAACTTATTGCGAGAAATACTGACTACTGAGCAATCTCTGAAATAAGAAAAGACGTTTCGGCCCGCCCTACCGGGACATATTGTTCTCAGTTTGGTGACGAAAGGTGAACCACACGCCTCATCACTAAATTGTGAACAAATGAATTTCATTGCACATCGCGAGGCGTATGGCCAACCGGTCATCACCGAACTCAAAATAAGCCACCGCTTGTGTGACTCCCTCAATACTTTTTTAATATATTAGTTATTCCTCAGAGCTTGCTATTTCCCGCCGATGTACAACTTACTTGTACGGTCCCATGGCAGCCATCCCCGCTGGACCGAGAATCTTGGGCAACCAGTGCTCGTAGGTGACGTGCTGCATCTGCGCTCCGACAATCTTGCGTGCCTCCTGGTACAGCCGCTCCCCGTCCCAGTGCGGGTTGATCTCGCTGAGCGCTTCGGCGAGACGGTTGTGTTCCCGAAACCAAAGCGTGTGCATGGCGAGCAGGCCGAGCTGCTCGTTGGCGCGCACGTCTCCCGAGAGGAAACAGTCCACGTCATTTATCTGCACGTATTTTTCTTTCTTTTTGTACTTAGCACAACGCTGCAACCAGAGATGGCACTTATATGGCACCCTTTAGGCGGCCACGACAATTCGAGATTTTCTGCATTGCACACAGTGAATTCAGAACACTTTTGAAGTGGGTGCCACTACGAACAAAACAATTGATTGATTTGTGGGGTTTAACGTCCCAAAACCACCATATGATTATGAGAGACGCCGTAGTGGAGGGCTCCGGGAATTTCGACCACCTGGGGTTCTTTAACGTGCACCCAAATCTGAGTACACGGGCCTACAACATTTCCGCCTCCATCGGAAATGCAGCCGCCGCAGCCGGGAATCGAACCCGCGACCTGCGGGTCAGCAGCCGAGTACCTTAGCCACTAGACCACCGCGGCGGGGCACGAACAAAACAAGATAGAAATTTGCAAATAATCTGCACTTGCTAGCTTTTTGTCAGCCGAAAGGTAACAAGAGTAGCACCACGGCAGACTCCTGGCGACCAAAATCTACATAGGCAGAAGTATCTTTTACGACGACTTTCACATTCCATTTGCACTGAATGGCTGACAAAGCTTTCACCAACCTCCGAGTTTCTCTTGCAGTCATTCGGTTGCCCATCGTTGAAAGGCAGCAGGTACTTCCCAGAAGGCATGCGGGGTCCCACCCTCAGTAGACCGCGGTCGCTGGTCAGGTTGCGCAGGTGAATGGCTTGCTTGGCTCGGCTGCCGTACACGTTCGAGGCGTCGATGAACGCCGTCAGCTGATTGGTTTGCTCGCGCGGTGCCAGCGCTCCGTAGAACACGGACGTACGACCCGATCCGCAAGCTGTGCTTGAGCGGACGAACTCGATGCACCGGTGGCCACGGACACGGCGGTCATCCGCCGGCACCTGTGTAATGAGATCGCGATACGAGTGAGCGGTAGCTTCTTTAGAACAATGTCGCTTGCTTTTATCTTGTTCTGGCTGTAGAACATTGACGAGAATAATTCCATAGTTGAGATAGTTTCGGGTCTTCGACTTGGGACTTTTTAACAAGACGAGTTTGAGATAAAAACGTAAACTTACGTCACTAGCTAATGTTACTGTTTACGCCACGATAAGCGAGTTTGGTATTGTGTAGAAAAATAAAGAAGGAAATCTGGAATGAGCATTGGAAATCTTCCTGCATGTTAAGATGACATCAAGTTCAGGGCTTCTTCATTTCAGCAGAATATTTTCATGTGTTAAATGTTGAAATGATAAGATGGAAAGGTTAGAGTAATAAAGAAACAAAATAACAATGACCTTTACGCATGCAGCGTCGTCGACTTTGAAGTGAAAGCCTTCGATTAGTCTTTTTCTTTGCAATTATGATATTGAACTTGCCTCATCCTTCCCCGTTCCGCCCAGGATGTTTTTTTTTTTTTTCAATGCTTCTGCGATAAAAGTCATTGCACGCTTTTTGCACCTCACATGATTTTTACACTGCATCCGTAATTGGGACACCTTTGACCAAACATTGTCATTTCATGACGTCACTGTCGTGCAATGTATTTGCATGGTGATCGTCCCCCCAGTACATTATAATGACGTCACATATTTCTTACGAGAGCTGGCGTCATTATGATGTCGTGGGATGACGTCATGGCATAATTTTTCGCACCACTCGTGTTGAGGTCGACGCTGCGGCATACTCTGCCGGCACTGCAGCGGTCAATTTTCGGGTCTAAGGCATCTCAGGCCTTCAGCTTCAAAAATATTATTGAAAGAGGAGCAGCTTGAGGAGTCTAGCACTGCCCGAGGCAGATTCTATAAGGCACTCGTAATATTTTTATCGTAAATAAAAGGAGCAGAAGGTAGGAAAAGGTCAAGTTAAAGAAAAAGTACAGCGGCGGGCGATGTTGGGCTAGTTGGTACGTATCTCAATATTAATGGTGTAGCGCGCATTTTTAACTAAAAAAGAAAATGAAAGGGTAAAAAGAGTGCTCTTTCTGTTCCCTAGTCTTTATTGTAACCCTTAAGCGTTAGGTCTTTCACATTTTTCTATATATACCAACTAGCGCAACATCGTGCGTTTGCGGAACCATCGTGCGTTGCGGAACATCGTGCGTTGCGGAACGCTGAACGCTATAGCTCCATTAAAGATATCTAAAGGAAACATTAGGGAGTTTACAAACTTTTGGTACTCAGAAAACGTATTAGAATAAATCATTCTGCGTCATGGTATCAAGAGGTGTCAAGCTTAATATTACAGTTGTGCCTTCATCTCTGTGTTTGTCATTAGAGTAAATATTTGTTTCCCGATGCTCTTCTATAGTGAACTCAACGCTCAGCATTGTTCGATGAAGTTCCCCTATTTTCAATATCTGCTGCTGTGAGATATGCTAAACGAAGAAAAAATCCTTAAAAATTGAATTGTATTTATCAATCAACTTTGTTATCTACCATGAAATGAGTGATAATAATACATTTGTGCACAAATGTTCTTATTTCGCGTGTGTTAGAAGATCAGTGCTAGTGCGTTAGCTGTTTGCGCTGGCGTGGCATCTTAGACTACAATTCTGTTAGACTATAGTCATGCACCTTCAACGTCTTAATGGAACATGGAAAGTCCAAAATCACCTCGTACAGTTATTACAGCTATTGAACAGCCAGTTCTAGACTGGTTTATTATGAGATGGCTATTGTGGCGTGAATGCGAAGAAAGTGAAGTACAGGGAGATTGACATTCTCTAAATGACTGAACCACGCCAGTGAAAGAAAAACTGTCGTGAACATTAGGCAGGCTATCACACTAAACTGCTTGAGGCCTTATCAGGCTTACTTATACATGTTGTTTTATGTCATTTCATCGCATTTATTTACTACTTTAGAAATCAGAGGGCTTCAGAAAGAAAAGCTCAGTGGAGCTTAACTAAGTTTCCAAGCCACCTACAGTCCAACGTCATCCCTCTGCAATACACACATTTTGCACAAAAATATACAAGAACAAAGTGAAACCAATCATTACACGCACAGTCATCAGCATTTAAAACAAATGAGCTCTCAGATTATTCAGGAAGGCCAAAACATGCGAGAAAGTGCACATATCAGTTACGCAAAAAAAAAGCTAGAAGCTCAGACAGACCTTCAACGTTCATTAATGTCAACATAATTTGTGCTGAAACATTTAAAGCGGAAAGTAAACTAATTCTTGACATTTCGCAATCGTAATCTGCACGTGAATATATAAATTTTCTCTTTTGTGAGGCAAGGCTTTCCGTCCCTACGTAAAAGCGGCCCGCGATCATACCCCTATAAAACAGAGATGGAATCCTTAAGGACCCCAATAAAATTTTTCATCAATCCATCCGTCAGTCGTAAAGGGTACACAAACACACATTTGACTAGTTCTGCTATTTCTTGAAGCATTGGCATATATTTTTTATTTCCTTTTTATATCGAAGAACTAGGCGCGATTTGTACAAACTAAATACTTTTGGAATAGCAGCAGTCTGGAAGAAGGATAATAAAATGGGTAAAGTGTAAATACATTCCCGGGCTTAACACCTATAAAGACAAAGTTTTTCAAAGAGCGTACCGAAATGCGCTGTCAGCCAACCAGTTGAGCGTTGCTTCAACTATGACAGAATCACAATGAAAAAAAAATAGCACAAAAAGGTAATGGTTCAAGTTAAATTATGCATAAAATATACTTGATATCGAAGAATAAGTTTATTTCAGATAAAGACGAATGAACTGTCACAATAATTTTTGCAAGCAAACTTGATGAATTCATTCAAAGAGTATACTGGTATTTGAAATAAGCTTAGATTGTTGCGGCACCTGGCGAAAAAGTTCCGAACCATGCGCTTATTTATACGTGCCCTCTGTGATCCGCCTATGCAGCACGACGGCTCGCTGCCTGAGTTAATTTCAAAGGTCATACAATTAGGCGCAGTTCAACTCGTCGAGTACGTTTCAAACAATTGTGTCCGTTCATTAAAAGAGCAGACTCACTTTTTGCTAGTATGTGCCCATAAGACCTAACATACTCACAACATAGTTATGTCCTCTCACTCTAAGATCTGCCCAATTGAATCAAAACTTCACCAAACGCTGAACGCTATAGCTCCATTAAAGATATCTAAAGGAAACATTAGGGAGTTTACAAACTTTTGGTACCCCAAAGCCCTTTTTGTATGGAGGCTTTGGGTCAAGCAGGGACGATGAGTATTTAATAGGGTTTGTGGTGCTTTGGAAACTCCCCCCCCCTACTCTGTCACTCTAGTCGTGGCCATGAGCCGTCACTTCAGAGGGTGCCGTCATGTTTGTCTGACCCAAAACTTTTGGGGCAGGCTTTGGGGCTCCCACTAAATTCGAGAAGTAGCACCGCCATCCCAAAATTATTACGCGGTTTGGGTTTTCCGCATGCGCAGTGGCCTTGACGCTATTTCGTTGGGTCCCCAAACTTTTGAGGCCCATATTCGAAAACTCTCTAAAGTTTCCCAAGGTTCTTTAAGCACCAGATAACACACGTTTTTAATTGGATGGATACAAACAGAGGTCTCTACTAGTATTATTTAAGCAATATACATGAATAAGAGAAAAAACTTGCCTCGATAGGGAAACAAGGCATGACGTTGTCGCACGAGTCTGCGCAGTCGACGGTGTCGATGAATCTCTCGTGGCTGATGGCTGGCATCGAGAAGTCCATGTCGTGGTCGAGAAACTGGCCCCACTGCATGAGCATGTGGGAGTGTTCGGAGTCTCCTTCCACAACTTCCGTGGATACTAGGCCGGTGGAGACAGCTCGAGCGAGTGGGAGGGGATGCCCATTGACCGGTTTTTCAGCGGTCCATCCTGCGGTAACGACAAAGTGGCGTATATATGCCGAGTGCATGATTGTCAATTAATAGCTAAAAAGGGCTTTTGAGTTATACAAAAAAATTGTTGAGCAGAAAATATCGTTGCAATTCACATTTTGGCAAAAGGCATTGTTATTGTGGGGAAGACAAGCACCGTAGCCGACACGTATGCTCCAGCAGTATTCCTCGTTTGTAAATTTCTCATCGATTCAAAGCACTATTTATATATTTCCCTAAGTTAATCTTTTTCGATTCATCACATCACATTAATAGAACTATCATATGACGGCAACGATGTCTAGATAGAAGCCAATAACTTGTTCTCCTTCTCCCACCTTGCCAATGAACATTTGTTGTTGGGAGATTTTTTTTCTCAAGCCAGTGTTAAATATGGCCAGTCTTGTATTTTACGGTCCCATTTATAAATACTGTCTGCCGAGTAAACTGCGCGGACTGCTACAGGAAACAACGAAATGAAAGTGTACTGGGTGAATTCGCAGGCAGTTCACGTGTCGAGAGTTGGTGTCTTGCTGAAAGGGGGGGGGGGGGGGTTCATATCTGTGCAATATGCGTGTCCCAGAGAAACTTTTTGGGTGGCTCCTAACACCAGCTGATCCAAAGGCAGTTCATCGTCGCAACTTTAAACAATAGGGTGGTGAATGAGCATGCCCAACAGCATTCCTGGCAAGGTCTATAAAGAAGGTATATACACCACTTGAATTTACATTCATTCAACTTATTGCTCCTTCGTTCCTTAAGTACCGCATGATGGATCTTTCGAATCTTCGTTCATAAACTACCTGTGCTTCATAAACGCATGATCTGAGGAGTTCATTGAGTTAATTTTATGCGCAACGAGCAGCTCACCCACGGGTGTGTTGAATCCATTCTCGTACTCAGCCGGAAGGAGCCTCTCGAAAGGTGTCAGTGATGCGCCCCACATAGGGTGACGCAGGTTGTTGCAGGTGCCGTCGTACGTGCGAAAGCGACTGTGAAAGCAGGTGTCAGAGCAGTCCGGCACTTGGCGGTGCTGCAGGCAGCCTGACATTTCAGCCAGCAAGTCCAGGTAGCCGGGAGACAACAGGTTGTCAACCGACGTATCTGTGTGTACGGAAAAAAAAAGAAGAAAGCCAACACGTTTACTGATTTTTTCATTACTAAGCATGAAGCCTTAAATGACTCGTAAATCCGAAAATACGGTGTCTGGTGCTAGCGACTGGCGATGAAACGAACACTAATGACGTTTAATTTCATGACTCCGCAGAAACATGAAATCACACAAAAAGTAAAACGACGATTGACATCATCTTTTGACGTCATCGAATGACTACAACTTGGTCAGTCGTGGGCCACAAATACACACAGATCGTTGGTACAGTAGAACACCGGACAATTAAGACGGAAAAAACTTGACGTGTATGGTGACGATACAATGCAATTTAGTGAGAAAAAAAAATCGATTTAGAATGTGTCTTATGAGGCCATAGGGCTTTGCTTGTGCTCTTAACATTACCTGAACGGATTGTCACTGGACCAGAGCCAATCGAAAGATCTTGTATGGGCACATTGGTATTTATGCACTGCGCTTTCCATTGCTGCATTGATTTTCTATACATATTCATAAGCACTATAGTATCTGTGAATGACGTCTTAAGGGCCGTCAATCCACCTTTTTCGGTGGCCCTGTGCTATCCTCCGCCGTTATGGTAGGGTTTCAGTGGGGCCCAGAACAACCCAAAACAAAACAAAAGTCAAAACAAAAGCCTCCGAGACCAAGAGCGTTTCGCCGTGTACCATCCTGATAAAGGCAAACTGGCACAAAATCAATCGCCTCCTCACCTGAAATGTTGAATCGCATACCGGCCGCTACTTGTTCCTGGATGATGTTGAGCGCCCTCTCGAACACCTCGGCTGCTCTGGCGGAGCGCTGGGCCTCCGAGTCCGGGTAGCGGAATATGCGCAGCAAGTGGGCGTGCCTGTGGCGTCCTCCCACGGTGCTTCGCTTGTTGTTGAGCAAATCTTCGAGTGTACTGTTGACAGCCCTGTCGACTGACTGCTCAGCCTCGTGCAGCGCGGAAAGCACGTACCGGTCACCAGGGTGCGTGCCGGTGTAGCCCTCTATATAGTCTGCGAGATAACGCGTTTGAATGCCCCCATCTTAGGCTGTTGACTTCACGGTTTCTGTACGTTTAAGGTTTGATTTATCATCACTTCAAGCCTACATGCCTTATTCAGTAGTTCAATTTGAAAAGATGGCGGAAAGGCAAATGAATGCCCAAGAATGGGCCAATCCCCTTTCGGAGTGACATATTGTGCTACTCTCTGCATGCATCTCTATATAATGCTTATAAGCATATATAAATCATAAAAATAAAATAAAAAATAAGAAAGAATGAGGCACCCAAAGAATGTTATTTGCGCGAAAAAAAAATGTATTTAAAAACAGGCATAATTGTGAATAAGGGAAGAAGTAAACAGAAGAGCAAGAATGAAGACCTTACCCTCATTATATATATGCACGAAGACGGCTGTACACATGACTTCCGTGTTTCATGGCCTTGATAGCGCTTGACGTAACGACAGTTAATCTAGGAAATCATTCGTTGTAAATCATCAGGTGGAACGCCATGAATTCCAAATAAATTAACCTATATAATGACGGTTCATCATTTCATTGTTAAAAAATATGACAACCTTTATATCCAGCTAGGCAGGCATTTCAGCTAGTTGGTTTGGTTCAGTTATAAAGAACATAACGTGAAAGAACAAGAGCTTAACAAGTAAGTTGGTACCTTGACTGCTCATTTGCTCTGGTTTTGCGCTAGCATTATTGTTATTATTAGAACCAAAGATAGTTGCGGCTTTAGGGAATGTGTGGTTTGTCCGCGCTGCTACCGAAACGCTAAACATTGGTACTTTAATGTATTGAATAAAAATTGCTTAGTTATCTACTGTTAAGTGTAGTGACTAGAAAAATGTCAGGTTAAGAAGCTTGCCTGTCATGCATCCCTCCACTTAGTGCTGCAGTGATGAACGAAATCAAGGGAATGGTTCGAGTGGCTTGTTTGTTCTTTAGGCTCACCCTAGCCAAGCCAACCAGCAACGAAGCCAAACAAAGCTGAAAGTCCATTATTTGTACTTTCAAGTTACACGTGATTCGATGGTTGCGTGTTCGGGTGCGACCAAATGCAAATATGTTCACACACTTTATTTCATTGTCATTTGTGTCATAAGTACTACATTAGAACTAAACATCTCCAATATTGTCAATTATGATTTCGTTGGCTTCTCGGTCGGTGTCAAGTGGTGTCATCCATTGGCAGATGCGGAGTGGTTGACAAACTCATCGCCGGAGCACTCCACTAAGGTGGAGGGCAACAGAAGGCAATCTACCAATGGAACACACGCGCTCCATCTGGAGCAAATGGCAGGGTCCAAATGGAACACGAAGTGTGCTTCTCTCTTCTGGCATGAGTGGGCGTGCTGGGCACTGAGACGCTACGCTAGCAAAACGTGAGCTCCGACCAAGGAGGATTAAAGAAAAATTGCTGGAGTGGAAGCTCCCGCAATGCCTTGCCAGCAAAAGTGAAGCCAGCTCTTGCCACTGCCAAGATGGCGGAAATATGCTCTTTTCTGATAGTGCCCACTTAAAGATCAAGTGTCTTTGATATGTTATGTAAATGCTGCGTCAGTTCTATATTAAAAGATAGTTGTTCCCGTCGAAATAACACACAGAAACGAGTATGGATGACTGAATCTTCAAAGAACGTTGCCTTTAATTAGAGGCTCGCTAAGGAAAACTAGTAACTGTAAGACGCACTTGGAGCACTATGTGACCCGAAAAAGTTCCCACATTAAACTCATTGGGCGTGCGAGGGTAACGCTTCGTTTTTAATCGCTGAACGGTGATGCTTTATCATGCCCCTAGTAAGATGTCCGCCACAGCCGCCATCTTGCCAGAGGAACGGTTTCACTTCTGCGCAACAATTTCCACTTCAGCAATTTTTTTTTCATCCTTATTGGCTCTGACGCGTGGCGCAACTGACGCGACCGGCGTGCGTTGGCACGCCCGAAGTTGGCGCCGTTTCAAGGCACCGGGTTCTCTCGACTTCTGGTCAAATCAGTCAATTTTTTTTTCGGAGTAGACAAAGTTGCTCCGTGGAGTGGATCTCGCGACTGAGCTGCTCCAGATCTGCCGATGGAACATACAGGGAGCACTCACAATCTGCTAATAGAATCGACTTGCTCCGCATGAAGCAGAAGAAGGAATTACCGGAAGTGCTCCGAATCGGCCACTGTACGACACCAAAGGTTGTGTTGCTTCCCAAGAAACTTCCGGTTACTTCTATAATCATTTTCTAACGCTATGAAAAAAGCTTGTGAGCTGTGCGTCAGTAATGAATAACTTGTTTTTGCAATTTCGGATAAAGGAAAGGTGCGCAAGGTCGAGGAAAAAATTTCATGATATCGTCTGTGTAGCTCCGCAAAAATACTTTTGAAATATTTGACCAGTTACAGGATCAAAAGTGTTGAAAATAAGCAGGCTAGTTGCTGACGATTGATTCCCTGCCAAAGTTATCAGCCTGATCCATCAAATAACATTTAAAGCTTGTTGGAATTGAAAGGGTCCTCACTAAATTGGGACAACTCTGAATCTACGGGTATTCAGTGTTCATATTGTCACAAACAGCTCCTGTTGCCCTGTATTGCTCCTGCTGCGACAACAGCATGCACGTACCCCGGACGAGTATGTAGAAAGGGGCCGATGCTCGGCCCATCTCGTTCTCGGCGACGCACTCGTAGCGGCCTTCGTCCCGTGGTTGTACGTTCACCACGCGAAGGCCATCTGGTCCCGCGCTGAATCGCCCACCGAGCGGTAGCGGTGCGCCGTCCTTGTGCCACGACAGGGTTGGCGTCGGGTGTCCCTCGGCCATGCACAGCACCTCGACGGTAGACTCCGGGTCTGTCTCGGTGTTTGCCGGTGCACTCACGAAATGTGGAGGTGCTGCACGCGAAAAAGTCGCAGTGTAAAAATCACCAGCATGTTATACTGTCAAATATTTGAAGGCGAAATATCTCTGTGCAGTTTGGTAATGCGTTATGTTGTACAGCGGTTAGCAAAGCTCAACTCGAACGTGGCGCAGCATAGCCTGAACCGGTTGGACTGATTCCTATAGAAGCGCTGGGCGCTGTTGCCGAAATAGTACCTCAGTATGCATTCGTAATCTGTCAGCAACAAAACCTAAACCTATGTCGCTCTCACGTCAATCAAACCGTTTAAGGACACTCTCCGGAGCATTCGAGTTAAGCTTGCTGAGAACTTTGTATTCGAGAACACGACGCGCTGCAAGATTTAATTAGGCGCATAGCAAGGTACAGGCAATAATTTATCTTAACATCGTTGTAATCATCACCACCACCACCATAATAATAATAATAATAATAATAATAATAATATTAATAATAATCACTAGCAGCAGCAACAGCCTGCTGATTGCGTCCACTGCAGAGAATGACACTGCATTGCCCCTCCGTGATCTTTTTCCTCATTTGCCGAAGCTTTCTGGAAGTTCAGGTAGTGTCGCAGTGTCCCCAGAAACAGCCCGCCATTGACCAACCGGAGATGCTGACTGATGCCGTAATGGTGACGTCAATATATTTGCCTCGTAGGGCGTCATGATGACGTCACATTGTGAATTCACAACAAACCCTTCCCTCCACGCACCACACTCACTCGGAGAAGGCTACGTGCATTTTTGTACAGCTCCACGCAAGCCGCGTCTGGTAGTCTCGTGAACTCTCGCGCGCGAATTTCGTGTAGGTGAACGCCAGTGGAGGTTGGGAAATGCGCTCTACATAAAAGTGATGATTGAGGTCTATTTAAAACTTGCAGTGGGTCATAACATGAAACGAAACGTGCCTTCAATTAAGCAGTTGCAGCTTTGTGGCGCGTCAAGAAATAGAAGAATGTAAGCTTGTATGGTGTGAAATCCGACTATGTTGAGCACAATTTTAAAGACGATAGTCTTTCTTGGGGACCTTTGACGCAAAAATTTTGGTCTATCTGCCTGTACAATTGTCTGTTTGTCCACTCTTAACGGTACTTCGTACTTTGAACGGCACCAGCCGATGCCCCAAACGGCCGACCCCATCGGCAGCGCCCACCAATGTTGCTCAAGCTTCAGTGTTCATACATGTGCGATTGTCAATTAAAAAGCAATAATCGCGCATATCTGAGGCACCATAAAAACACATATATTCTGTATGTACGTCTTTTACTAGAAAAACAGACCTAAGTAATTCTAAAGACCATAGCGTTTATCACGCTTCGCTGACCATGCAACGCTTGCACGAAGAGGCGAGTGTTTCCAACGCTTTGCTAAGACGACGCGGTGGTGGCATCTACCCGTCACCTTGTGTTCTACGCCTTATCACCTCTGAGACGGGCGCACACGCCCGTCTCGTTTTCCAAGAAAACTGCCAGATAACGCTCACGTCACATGTATGACGTCACTTGATGCGCTCGTTCGCCTCCACTGCACACTCGAGGCACTCTAACGCAGCGCCTCCAGAGTACAATTCACCGATTTATTGCGCAAAACATTAAATAAATGTTTTGTTCACTCTCATTACACGCAACACTAACGTCTTTTTACGACATTTGCATATCAACATGCAGATATGGGGCCAATCTTTTGTAATGCATTTTTTTACACACCCCTGCATTTATATTACGTTTCACAAGCTGTTTGCAGCGCTGTGAAAGGTACAGCCACTCTCAGCCAATGATGGAAGAGCACACTTCTTAAGTCTGTTCTATACGCGCATGTCGTATCCATTAATTTGACAAATGGCCTGATCTCTATGAAAATTATAGGTGCACTGAACTAATTGTCTCTTGCTTTTTTTTTTGTATCAGATGGCGCTTGGTGCTTCTTTGTTTTGTTTTGCTTACTTTAGACGGAACGACCAGTTTTGCAATGAAACTGGTCCGACGTTTCCTATTTCTATTTATTCTCATCATAATTGGTTCCTATGAGTTCTCGTCACGTTCGAATTTTAAATGTAAAGGATTTCTTAGCGAACTTCAGCGACATTGAGCGTATCTATCTATCTATCTATCTATCTATCTATCTATCTATCTATCTATCTATCTATCTATCTATCTATCTATCTATCTACCCGCCTATGACATTTAGCTTTCCTGGCGGTTCCGATAATGGTGTCAATACGAAACTTAGTATGGCTTAACATGACTGCATGAAGAACATATCTCACTGGTCACAACATGAAAATAATGACACGTATGCCACGAATGTCATGATTTATATTTCATGTTCCAGCAGCTCTTGCGCTGGTTTCGTTCACATGGCATGTTGCAAAACTGGTATTGTATGGCACAATTGCATGGCGAAAAGGCAACAGACCCTAACATGAAAATCATCACATGCGTATCATGTAACAACATGACTACATGCCACGCCTATGATGCGCTCACGGCCATTTCGCTAGCTTCATTTCTACCAGATTTGGTATTACAGGACGTGAATGAATGAAGAAAATATGATACTGGTGCAAACATACAAACATGAGATGCGTGTCATGTAACAACATGACTTCATGCTACGCTCATGATGCGCTCGCGGCTGTTTCGCCAGCTTCACATGTACCAAACGTGGTATTACGCGACGCGAGCGGATGACATATGTAAATGACATATCCAAACATGATGATCACGACATGCGTGTCATGAAACAACGTGACTACATACCACACTCGTGATGCGTTCGCGGCCATTTCACTAGCTTCACATATGCCAAATTTGGTATTGCGTGACGTCAATGGATGACGAAAGTATGTGCCTGGTGCAAACATGATAATCATGAGATGCGTGTCATGTGAGAACATGACTACAAGCCTAAGTCAAAGCGGCAATACGTTTCAACGTGGCGTGGTGTGCGTGCTCGCCGGCGTTCATTTTGTTGCGTCACGCCGGCGTTGCCACGCCAGGCTCCGGTCCTGCCATATACTCGCAGGCGCTTGCCGCGCTGCGTTGCTTTGACGCATGCGCGTCTCAGCGCGTCCGGCGTCCCTCCGTCACGAGAAAAGGGAGTTGCGGTGTTGTCGGCTTAACGCATCCGCACGAAATGCAGCATGTCGCATTTTGCGCCGGTTGCCGTCGGGCCACGCCGGCGGACGCTGGTCGCACCAGTCGCACCTGGCGTCCCTGGCGTCAGACTATAGAGTGCTCGCGTTTTGCTAACGTAGCGTCGGTGTGCCCAGCGCGCGCGCGCGTCAACGCTACATGAAGTATACTGGGCCCTTCAACATGCGCTCGTGGCCGTTTTGCTAGCTCAACACACACTAAATTAAGTGTCACATGACGTCAATGGATGACGAAATTTATGACTGGTGCAAACATAATAATCCTGACACGCGTGTCATGTAAGAACACGACAACACACCACGCTCATAGCGTGCTCACGGGCGTTTTGCTAGCTTCACATATACTAAATTTGGTATCACGTGAAGTGAATAGATGACGAAGGTAAACGACACATTCAAACATGACAATCATGACACGGAAGTCATGTACGGCGTTATTTACCTCATCCTCGTCACATTGTGCTGATTTTAAAGTCACATATCAACCTTTCTTATTCGTGCGTCGCATATCGTCGATTCCCCGTGTACTTGTGATCTTCCAATTTTTTTAGGAGCGAAGCTCCTTAAGGCGTGGGCTGTGCGTCCCCTGTATGTCGCCACCTCTCATTCAGTTCTAAGTATTACGCTAGCCACCGCCCGATCTAAAGGGTACAGCCATATCCATCCGTCCATCCGTCCGTCCATCCATCCATCCATCCATCCATCCATCCGTCCGTCCGTCCGTCCGTCCGTCCATCCGTCCGTCCATCCGTTCGTCCGTCCGTCCGTCCAAAAGATGCAAGATGTTATAAACTAGACGGCGGTACGTGTAGTTGATTATGAAAGATGCGAGGTGTTATAAAATAGGAATGATGCCACATATGGCGCGTGTCATCGTTCGATATAGTGCGGCGACGTACGCTAGGGGGAGCGTTGCAATAAAATCGAGTGGGCAAAATGTACGGGGGATTCATGGTTTACCAGGTTTACCGCCGGAGCTTCGCCCACTCATCATCATTCACTTCGTGGATATGGCGGCATTTTTTTTTTTCCACCGACACAGTGAAGCGTTCGCTCGCTCATCTAGGTTGTTTTGCGGTCCTCTTCATGAGTGATTCCACTCTTGCACTGTCCTCGCACTCGACGCGAAGCCCTTCGAGAACGTGTAAAACCCTTCGCCAGCTTTGGAAAACCGCGTACGTTGGAAGGTTGGCTCACTGGTCGCACAGCTTGAGAGGCATCTTGCACAGACACAACCAACTCGAGCGATGCCTCGTTTCCGAATGGCGGCGCACCATCACTCCACAGCATGCCTCCACAGAGATGCGCCCTTGCCTTCCTCTTTTAATTTCACTAATGGTAGGATCACCCAGCACGCTTTGAAAAAGTCAATCCTAACAATGTTTACGATTTATGTAGTGTAGCCTGAAAAAATAAACTTTGTTCTTAAAATATTTCAGGGACTATTTGCTGTGCCCCTACAGCCCTGATTGAACGAGAGGGCTGTAGTTTTGGCTGCTCTGCGAACAGCTTGGGAAAAGCGCTAAGCACGTAACGCTGAAAAAATGCATCTGAAGTATTTTTCGGATAGTGCGCTTATTCTGAGCGCCCCCCCCCCCCCCCCAAAGGCCGAGGCATTCTGAATGATGAGCTCGATAAAATTTTTGAGTCATTGATAGATTGATTTTCCTAATGCCCGGAATATTATGTAAGCTAAGATAAAAGTTATACGCTGCGGTAAAAGGACTCTCGAACTACTCAAATAAAAAGACACAGCATATTGTTCAGACAAAAAGAGTCAACAAAAGGATAAATTTTGAGAGTTGACAGAGTGGCGTTTGGTGGATGCCATGTGCGATTAACCATCGAAGCACTGATTGCTCATATCATGTCGTCACAAATGTGTAGGGATCCAGGCAGTCGGGTTGTGAATCGAGCATCAAACATCGCGGGATGGCTTGAAGCTCTCCATAGTGGAGTACCTCTAGTACTCTAAATCGTTACCTACTTTTTTTATACACACAAATGTGTAGGCTCTTTGCGGGACGGCTCAGTGCTCTCCCATAGTTGAGTGCGATGTACTCGAAATCGTTAGACATTTTTTCTAAACACAATTTTTCCTAAATAGTAACTGTGCATATAGTTCATGCTGAACACCACACTATATAATACTTTGTCTAGCCTTCAATCTAAAAAAAGAAAAACGTGGCGCATCCCCCTAAATATGAATACGTATAAAACGAAAGTAATACGTGTCTTTGCAGAGGTAGCTGAGCGTTTCTTGTACATTGTTTCAGCAACAAATTGCAAATTCACGTTAGGCACGGCAAGCAGCTAGAAGCTTGCAACGTACATTTCAATCAGAAATCGTGCACAAAATCAGCATACACAGGACGAGCGCGGACTAAGAACTGCCACAGCTCGACACACAAAGCGCGCGCTGTTCAAACAGAAAGACGCGCAAAACAAGCGCACAAGTATACACCGAACAAGCGCACAAGTATACACCGAACAAGCCCGAACAACTGTCACAATTCTTCCTGCGTCGTGTGTCAGCAGCGCAATCCTTTTCGTAGACGCGGCCGTGGCAGCGTGCGAATGAAATTTCATCCTCTGCCGAATTACGAGTCTGGTAAGCACGCGCGCGTAAGAGACCACGCTCCGTGGAGCCAGGTGGCGCTCCGCGGAAGCGACGTCCTTTGGAGCGCGCCCAACGCAGGCCTGTCGTGCGATTGCGCCACTGATAACGATAACGTGCTAAAGCTTTGAAGCTTATAAAACTGCGAAACAGTGTTAGGTGTATATAAATGGTCTGCCGTAAGAATTCTAGACAACGATCGTATTGTGGCACAGTGGTTTGCGCCGCACGCTGAGAATCGAGAGGTTACCGGTTCGATTCCACGTGGCAGACGTTTGACTTTTCATTTTTCGTCGTTGAAATTTTAGTATATATTTTTCAACATCACTTCCGTGATGGAAGTAAGTAAGTGGAGCCGTGGGAGACGCTGGCATAAAACAATTTTGTGTTAATAAACATTATAAAATAGCTTTGTGCTCTCCCACTCGAGACTACTTTCCGTCACAGAAAAGTATGCATTCTGTGACGAAAATGATGCCAGTCTATTCTCTATGGAGCCAGTACAAAAAAAGTACCTGCCAAAAGACACTCACTCCTAATTATCCTCATGTATGTGAACTGCGGAAGACGAACTAAATTTTTATGGCGACAATGCTCACCTTATGGCATGATGCCGAATGTTTATATAGGTACCGGATGTTTGGTGGAAAACATATGATGTGTATGGATTGAAGCAGGGTCTTGTCGAATCTGGCGCCATGTATGGTTATAACTAGATACATAGTGATTACGTAAATATATTAGGTTAATGAGCAATAGGGGTCTATAAGAGTGGAGAACCAGTAGGATCCAGCATTCTTCTTTCCTGCTGCTGTTGGCCCCTCTATAGCAAAACCAACTTATGTAAGGCCAAGTTAATCCAGATTTGGGTGCACGTTAAAGAACCACAGGTGGTCGAAATTTCCTTAGCCCTCCACTAAGGCGTCTCTCATAATCATATGGTGGTTTTGGGACGTTCAACCCTACATATCTATCTATCAAGGCCAAGTTAATCACGCGTTGCCCCGTGCCTGTGCTGGGACCAGGTGAATCCGGCAAAACGCCCCGATGCAGCCGTGCGATCAATGCCGCACTGCATCGCTGTTGTCTGAGTGCCTGTAGCACGTGCTGTGCATTACGAAGCTTTCGACCTCATTATGAAACAATAGAAATACGCAGATGTAAATAAGTCAAATCGCTCATGACATGTCAATATGTATGAGGTGCTGATTTTAGATTCCTTTTTTTTTCGCGTTGCGACTTGTATAAAGTGCTTAATAAAGGGACACTAAGCAGGAAAAACTGCTTGGCTCAGTTTGACCAACTGTACCGTGAGAACTCGGTTGCCACATGTTTCACCATCATAAGTTCATTATCAGCGGCGGAAATCTAGACTGAAATTTCATTTATAAATGTTGTGCCGAAATAGTTGTGCGTGATGTCAAAAGTGGCAAAATGTATTTGGGTAATTTTCGTGGCATGTCCTCAACAAATATTTCTGAAATTTCATATGCTGAGTATATGACACAAAAAGATGACAATTTACTTCATTTTTATTGATTGGAGGCTACGTAAGACCCAGTTCATACCTTCAAAATTTCTTACGTCACGATGTTCAGTACAGGCGTCACAAGGTGGCGCCACTACCCACCTTTTCGTTTCACGCGATTTTTTTTTTTTTTTTTTTTGTTCACCGAGCGCTTTGTGACGCCAACTGTGGTGTTTTCGGGATTGTGAAATTGTGCCCCATTAAATCGCGAAAAATAGTTCTGTTTTAGAAGTCCATAAAAGGCGAAAGCCTTGGATGACTTGTGAAACGCGAGAATTCACCACTGGGTGTGGACCATCGTCCCGCGGTGTCGGCGTCAAGACGTGATAACGTCTCAAGACATCACATATCACCAAAGTTTGTAACATCACTATGACATCACTGTTACGTCACGTAACGTAGCGTCCCATAAGGACGTCTCTACCGGACATGTTTTTTTGTCGAACGTAGGCCGATAGAGCAGGTATTACAAAACCAGAAGAGGTGCAGAAAATATTCGGGGGAGGGTGGCGGATGGTCAGTGCATCGAATGAAAAGATGATGGCTATCGCTTTGAGTTGTCTAGGAGTAATGCGCAAAAATATCTGTGAGTTTTAAGAGCAAAGCTCAATCTTTTTGTTACGTTGCGTAGTACGAACAAGAATCATCATCATCATGAATCGGTACAGGGCAGTCTCGTCCTCTTCAACTTCTTATCCCTACCACAACACGAGCACTGATTTGTCCGGCGTTGAAAGTAAGAACTATGAAGGTCAACTAGTCACTGGACTGCAATCGCATGTCACGCAAACAACTAGAAACGCAGCTAAGCGTTAGGTGACATCACGTAACTAGTCACATCAATGGAATCAAGCAACATCATGGAAGAGATCGCATGACTAAACAGTACGTAACGTGACGTAAGCTCTTATCACGTGACTAAAACCACGTAACACTTAGTCACGTCACCAAAACCATGCAACATCACGTAATAGCCAGTCTTGTGACATGTTACTGCGACTAATCACGTAATTGTTTACTTGACGAAAACAAAACCCTGCAAGACGTAGTCATGTGACATGTCTAGCCAAGTTTAGCCAAGTCTAGCCATACTTAGTGCTACTAGGGAGAGCTTATCTATACAAAAGCTTAGCATCAAAAATAGAGTACACTTAGGCTTGGTGTTTAGGAGTGTAACAGGATAGCGATATCTTCTCCCTAGTGCGCACTTCAACAACTTGGTGCCCACTTTGAAGGCCAAACCCCATAACTGCGAAAATGCTCGCGACATCGATGAGCGACGCGACGTAGATTGCCTTCGCGTGAACAGTCGCTTGCGCAGGCAAATCTCCTTCACGCGGAGGCTTCGGCGAGCGAACCTCCCTGTTGCTGGCGTGAGGCCGTCTACTCGTACCTAAATTTCCGCGTAGTTGGCAATGTGCAATGTCGAAATAAAATGTGTTGCTTTATAATGAAACGGAAGGGGTTTATCATTGCCTTGCAGCACTGCCTCTACACGAACGTGCATGCATAAACATTGCGTTATTTCTTCGTTGTGCACACGTTACTCGGCTGGAGAGGAGCATGAGAGGAAGTGATCGCATTGGGGCACACGGAGAGAACCGGCAGTACGTCAGTCATGTACATCCTGTTCCGGCGCTTTTTAGCACAGCACTTCCGGGCGATGAGCGATGGTTTCCATCACGCGAAAACTACCACGCGACACTTCGTGCTTCGTCGCCCTGCTTCGTCGCCCTGCTTCGTCGCTAATAGCATCGCTCGTTGCTGTCGCGTATATTTTCGCGTTTATTGGGTTTGGCCTTGATTGTGTGATGCTACTCCAAAAGTTTAAATTGTGAATTACTGCAGTGTAATTGATAAAGTTGAAAGTGGCTTGTGTTAGTAGCAAGTTCGAAAATATCTCACGCGCATAATTGCTTGTGGTTTAAAGCATGCTACCCTTTACACTGAATTCAGCCATATGCGGAAGTTTTGCTGACACAACGCCCTTTCATCTTCATCGATATGTAGGTCAATGCAGTATATATAGCTTTGCCGATGGATCCGGCCTTGCACCACTGGTTCAAGCTGCGCACACTATTTTTTCTCCAATAAAAATGCTTGGCATTCTTGTCATCTAACTCTGTGTTATAAGTACTCACTTTTCGAGTGAACGGAGAGGTCCGCGTGAGCTTCGGAGTACCCAGCAGCGTTCTCGGCGTGACATGTATAGACCCCCTGCGCCTGCCTGGCCACACCCTGGAGTCGGAGTACCTTGCCGCTGTGCAGTACCTTGACGCTTTCTCCGTCCGGCGTTATGCGCTGACCTAACGAGAGGGGAAGAACGCATCGAATCACCACACGCATATTGGAGATGAGCCTTCTAAATGATGATACAATGCTTAACAGATATCGTCACACACTGTGTAATGATGACACTGCACAACTTAAAGCAGGTGTTGGCAACCACTTGAGACGAAGGGCCAGGTAGCGGACAGCTCACGTAGTGGCGGGCCATACGGCAAATTGTCTGTGTGTGTGGGCGGGAAGGGGGAGCTATGAGTACGGAAAAAAAACTTGACTAATTGACAAAAATGTTCTAAACCTAACTAGAATTCATGTTTATTTTCAGCACGCATATGACAAGCTCTCAGTCAAACAGGTTTCAGGTGAAAATCGTGTGTTAGTTCCGAACTGCTGTCTCGGTCTTCGCACTGGAATTGGAGACGTATTTGACAGCATGCCGGGGGCGGCACTACATGCATTGTATATGTAAACGTTCTTTTCTCGGCCTTTCGGTTGGAGTCCGACTGTTTTCTGGAGAGTAGTCTTAGAAATGTGCGGCTCCGACCGAAACGTAGACAAATAAGCAGCTTTTCGGCGTATCTGCTGTTTAGCTAGGCCTTCTTGTGACGGACGGACGGACGGACGGACGGACGGACGGACGGACGGACGGACGGACGGACGGACGGATCGATAGATCGATACGCTCCCTAAATGCGAATTCCGAGGGCGAAAAGATGCCCGTCCCGCGCCAATGCAAGCGTGAATTCACCAATATCTGTTGCCCCTTTTGCTGTTTGTTTAGTGTTTATTTAGTCTGCTGTAGTGTTTGCTCCCCTTGCATCTGTTTTCGATTTCCATTGCCTCGGATCACTTACCATGGTGAGTCTGTACACTATCCCCGTAACTTATTCAATGCTATAATTGCGACTTCGCCTTAGAAAGCACTAAAAAAAGAGCAATGCAAAGAGCCCTCTTTAAGTGCTCGCAGACTAAGAAATCAGAAAAAAATAAAGCGTTTTAAAATATTCTTGAGTAACGTCATACCATCCTTGTACCACGAGAGTTCCGGCGCTGGGGAACCTGCGCCGCTGCAGATAAGCTCGACGTTCTCGCCTTCCAGGACATCTTGCTCACGTGGTCTTTCCAAGAAGTACGGTATTTCTGCGCAAAGGGAGAGGATGGGGCTGAACTTTTCCAACTGCTTATAACACTCACTGACTTCCTTCAGAGTCACACGGAAAAGTCTAAGGATATCTACAAATCACAAAGCAGAAATATCACAAAAGTAAAGGATGTGCTCCTGTTACTTTAACCGGTGTAGTGAGCTACAATATTCTTGTGTTTTCATTTTCGCAGAAAACTTTTGTGAAAACTGTAAAAAAAACTAGTTTTTTTGCGAGTTGTAGCTTTAGTTTCCTGAAGGAAGGAAAATAAGAGCGAAAGAATGGCAGGAAGGTTAACCAGCCTATAAGCAGTTGGTTTGCTACCCTGCGCATGGAAGGGAGAGGGGGAGGTGAAAGATAGAGAGCAGCGAGGGAAGAGAGATAAACACAGCACTTAGTTTTATGAACATTTCGTGAGTGCCACAGAGCTAAGAACATGAAAAAGTGAAGAAGAGAGAGACAGACGTCTCTTTCATGTTTTTTTTTTTTTACTTCGTGTTCCTAGCTTTGCGTTAGTTGCGAAATGTCCAGCAAACTTTCTGAAAGCCTATTTGCTGCAGTTGCAGTGAAGCATTTCCGAGACTGCTATTAAGAGACACGATAATCTTTTACGACGTTTTAGTGAGCTTTCACACTTTGTATGGACATTTTGATTCCGTGAACACTTATGTTTCTTTTTTACAAATTTGGCGTCGCGTGAACCTGATTTCTGTACCGAAAAAAACTTGAACACAGTGCGTGATTGTTCCACTATGTGCCTTTGTATAGCCTTGTGTCTGTTATCTTTAATATGTGATAACGACCTCTATGCCAGGGCAGAGGAGTAGACGGCGCCACACATTGGCACAAACCTCTTCTTGACTAAAAAAAAATGGTTTTTCGTCTAATTAACTGCCCAACAGCATATTCGGCAAATTTCACGAAAGTCATCTGTGCTGGAGAAGTCTTTAGAGCATTCCAAGAGAAAGGCGAACGTGGGTGGGAGAGACTGAAAGTGGGCGAGGTCCTATGATGTTCAGAAGCTGGCGGGTAGAATAACGTGGAAGCGCGAATCTCAGGACCGGATCGATGGGCGCAACGTGGGAGAAGCTCTCTGCCCTACTGTGGGGGGAATCAAGCCGATAACGATGCGCAATTGACCTTGATGATTGAAACTGCTAAAAAGATGCCATAACCTGTCACTTGCTTGCTTTGGTAAATTGGTACAAGGAGCTTGGTGGTACACTTCCGCAATACGTAACTGGTAAATGTACCAAGCACCCATTGATATACTATACATACGGAAAACGAAACTGCTCAGTAATTGAGACATAGTTTTGCCCAATAGTGTTACAAATGTACCACTCGAATGAGAAAGCTTCAATATATTGATCATCGAGATTAATATTTTTTTTTACTTCAGACTGGACTATCTTGTTTGTTTTTCGCACCTGCTTTTCCTCTCCGTCCTACTTTTTAACGTTGTTTTGACATCTCTCTTTCTCTCTCTGTGTGTCTATATATATATACATATATATAATATATATATATGCAATACGCGTTTCGACGAATTGCCCCGCCGTGGTGGTCTAGTGGCTAAGGTACTCGGCTGCTGACCCGCAGGTCGCGGGTTCAAATCCCGGCTGCGGCGGCTGCATTTCTGATGGAGGCGGAAATGTTGTAGGCCCGTGTGCTCAGATTTGGGTGCACGTTAAAGAACCCCAGGTGGTCGAAATTTCCGGAGCCCTCCACTACGGCGTCTCTCATAATCATATGGTGGTTTTGGGACGTTAAACCCCACAAATCTAAGCGTTTCGACGAATTGACGAATTGGTGAGTGGAATAGACCACGGCCGCACAGGAAGGTGCATTCCGGCTGTTATGAGCCTATTGTTGCCCAAAACCTTACATAGGGCGTCGAATAAACGTTCACAATTTAGGCAATGGTAATTATCACATATATAATCATTACCATTGCCTTAATTATGAACGTTTCAGTTGTTTCCTTCATTGTCAGATATTATCATTGTATTTTCAGAATTTACTCCTAGTATTTTGTGCTTCTCGTTAAAAGTTTATTATACTCTATAAATTCAAATAAAATACTCGACATTTTTTTCTGTCACACACTCGACCGAATGTTTATGTACACATTGATCACTTACACTCTTATGAACCGACACAAAACCACGGAGTTCAATCAAGTTTCGCACTTGTTTAACTAATTGCAATATTCAAGTGTGGCACCAACACTTGACAATTTTGGCTAAATACACTGCTTTTAGCTTTGGTAAATAAATAGGATATTGATTGATTGATTGATTGATTGATTGATTGATTGATTGATTGATTGATTGATTGATTGATTGATTGATTGATTGATTGGTGTGTGGGGTGTAACGTCTCAAAACCACCGTATGATTATGAGAGACGCCGTAGTGGAGGACTCCGGAAATTTCGACCACCTGGGGTTCTTTAACGTGCACCCAAATCTGAGCACACGAGCCTACAGCATTTCCGCCTCCATCGGAAATGCAGCCGCCGCAGCCGATATTCAATCCCGCGATCTGCGGGTCAGCAGCCGAGTACCTTAGCCACCAGACCACCACGGTGGAGCAAAATAAAAACAATACATAAAATGTACGTGTTACACCACTCACGCTGCACGTCAAGCCTAATGGTAGTGCTGTCTTCGCCGATTGGTGAGGTGGCTGTGCAGCGGTAGATGCCGGCGTCACTGGGGTCGGTGGCCGAGATGAGTAGCATGCCGGCAGTGAGCGACACGTGGTAACGGGCGTGCTGCAGCAGGGGCACACCATCCCGCTTCCATGTCACCAGTGGCGTGGGCCTACCCGTGGCCGGACAACGTAACGTCACGCTGCGGCCAGCCATGACCGAAACATCAGAGGGGCTCACCAGTATGTGCGGCTTTTCGTAATCTGCATGATATTGGCAAAGCACACACTGAAATGGCACGTACTATAACAAAGTTGCATTGTGCACGAAAACAAACTCGTTATTCCTAAAAACTTGTTGTAAAGGTATATTTACAACAAAATATGCATTATAACACTTTTTTATTTAATTCGTTATATCCAGTATATTGTTATACCCGGACTCACTATATCGTGGTTAAGTTACAACGGCATTGGTGCTACGCTTCGGTCTCTTATGCAAGTAGTATTGTATAAAACAATAGTAGGCTGAGTTATTTGGCAAAGATTCCTCATAAAAGAAAGTAAGGAGCATAAAAACAAATACAAAAGAAGGGAACTCGTGTGTCCTCTTGTGTGCGTTTCGCACCTATTCATTTCTGTTGGGATGAATGTCGTGTTGCATGTTTGAGACTAAGATGCCTTCTCCCAACACATGCGCTACTTAGCCAGCACCAGAAGCTGTTAATCTAGTGACCTAATTTTCTCATCAACCATCCTGGTACTTCACGGCTATCTTCTTGCACTGACATCACAGAAAGATATGATTTTCCGAAATAAACGTTTAGAAACTTCCCCAAGAACCAGAAGTGAAGAAGGCTTTGACCCTAGTCATGAGTCCAAAATTCAAGGCGTCTACAAATAGTACCGTTAGGATAGGCTACCCGAGGCAAAAATGAAACAGAAAATTTATACAGCGCACTTACCTTGCCTATCTACGTAGTTTTCGAAATTTGCTACGACGCTTAGCTGCGCAGTTCTGGAGATCGCCGCTCCAGCCGCGTTCTCCGCTTTGCACCTGTAGACTCCTTCATGGTCTTCTTTGGCAGAGCGAATAACCAGCGTTCCGTCTTCGAGCATATCGATATCGCTCCGACCTCCAAAGTACACGTCGACCCTGTAACGTAAACTATAGTGTTGGAATACGAGATCTCTCATGCGGTATCTTCGAATGCACTCATATTTATGTCCAGCGGAACGTGCCGGTTATAGCTAGGACACTATAACTTCTTGTGTGGTTTTCTTGCTATTTCAAGTTTTTTTGCCCAGGACGTGACGCCTTGAATTTTGGACTCATGACTAGGGTCAAAGCCTTCTTCACTTCTGGTTCTTGGGGAAGTTTCTAAACGTTTATTTCGGAAAGTCATATCTTTCTGTGATGTCAGTGCAAGAAGATAGCCGTGAAGTACCAGGATGGTTGATGAGAAAATTAGGTCACTAGATTAACAGCTTCTGGTGCTGGCTAAGTAGCGCATGTGTTGGGAGAAGGCATCTTAGTCTCAAACATGCAACACGACATTCATCCCAACAGAAATGAATAGGTGCGAAACGCACACAAGAGGACACACGAGTTCCCTTCTTTTGTATTTGTTTTTATGCTCCTTACTTTCTTTTATGAGGAATCTTTGCCAAATAACTCAGCCTACTATTGTTTTATACAATACTACTTGCATAAGAGACCGAAGCGTAGCACCAATGCCGTTGTAACTTAACCACGATATAGTGAGTCCGGGTATAACAATATACTGGATATAACGAATTAAATAAAAAGTGTTATAATGCATATTTTGTTGTAAATATACCTTTACAACAAGTTTTTAGGAATAACGAGTTTGTTTTCGTGCACAATGCAACTTTGTTATAGTACGTGCCATTTCAGTGTGTGCTTTGCCAATATCATGCAGATTACGAAAAGCCGCACATACTGGTGAGCCCCTCTGATGTTTCGGTCATGGCTGGCCGCAGCGTGACGTTACGTTGTCCGGCCACGGGTAGGCCCACGCCACTGGTGACATGGAAGCGGGATGGTGTGCCCCTGCTGCAGCACGCCCGTTACCACGTGTCGCTCACTGCCGGCATGCTACTCATCTCGGCCACCGACCCCAGTGACGCCGGCATCTACCGCTGCACAGCCACCTCACCAATCGGCGAAGACAGCACTACCATTAGGCTTGACGTGCAGCGTGAGTGGTGTAACACGTACATTTTATGTATTGTTTTTATTTTGCTCCACCGTGGTGGTCTGGTGGCTAAGGTACTCGGCTGCTGACCCGCAACATATTCACGTCCGATGAAAGCTCTGCAGGCGTAGCCAGGGCACTCGACTTTCTTGCCCAGTTTCCTTTTCTGGGACCTGATTTAGATAGTAATACTGTTAAGGACATAAAAGAGGACACAAGCAAAGAGCGTGTCTGAGTGCTCTTGTCTCACGGTACTAGTGTCTTTGCGCTGCAAGTTATTCAAATATGTTAGTCAGTTACAAGTGGTTATAACCTTATGAAAAATACAAGCTATCAGCCAGCACAGCGGAGCGCTTATCATTCATCTGTGCAAAGAGTCAAGCTCGATGGTTTTCGTTTTGATCTTGAGTACCGTTTCACAGCTGATGTGTGTTGTGAATTAGCAGTTCCTCGCTTCTTGTTGAAATGTAACGCTTTGCTCACCAGTGAAGCCGTAAGTTTTACTTTCATTTGTGAGGATTTTCGAGTTTTGGACCGACAACTAGCGACCCGAGCATTTGCTTGTATAAGAAAGTCACCTACTTGAAGTAATCAAGACGTGCCATCATATCATAAATAAGATTGGGCAATGAGGCAAGATATTATATTTCGTTAAACACTTTTTATAAACACAGCGACAGCTGTATGTCAAGCTACTATTTGTTTTCGGGTTGTAATCGAATCTAACGTAATAAGTCAGACATTCGTACTAACTTGCCTTCATAGCAGTTTTACTAATAGTATACAAGCGAGAGCAAGTGGCATAGAGTGTTCGATGAAATTCACAGCATGCCTTGCTTAACTGCCTGAATAACGGTGCGAGTCACCAACGACAACAGGTTAATTACCATACCATTTCAATAATATTGAGGCAACTAAATACATGTAGATACATGTAGAACTACCTGTGTAGATATGTACGATGGCTGCCCTCGGCTAATACCGGTCTTTGATACCCTGGATATTTAATATGCATTGTTACGCTGAAAATCAAAGGGACAACACGTACATCGATGCTCGTAGAGGTCAGTTTAAGTACGTTCCAATAATAATCAGCACATTTTTATTGCAGCATCATTAAAGAGCTGCAGTTCAGAAGAAATTCCGGTGTCGGTGTCGTTCGTTGTGATAGAAAAATCGGCGGTGTTCATGAGTGAAGAATTCCGATCGAATGGTGCAAATGGGATAAATAACGAAGACGTTTGCTTCGAGTGAAAATCAAGCCCAGACCCTCTGCGTGCCAAGAAGGTGTTCTCTACAAAGGGGCCACGTCAATGCCTGAAATTGCTCGCCCCCACCCTTCCCTACTCGCAAAAAGCGCTGTATGAATGTTGCGTGGAAGAATTGTAGAACTGCACCAGGCGTCAGAACATCTGAATCGCCAGAGTAGGTGTTTCAGAGTTGCCCGCCTAATACAAATGATTCGAACTTAAACTGCTCCTTAGACGCGACACCAGAGAAGATGCAGCCAAGACGAACGCCGGCTGATTTATTGAAATCACACATTTCAGCCTCTTCGAACAAATCGCATGCGCAAAAAAAAAAAAAAAGTCATCGCCGCTCCCTGCTATGGGGGCCCCTGTCTTAGGAGAAAAATCAAACTCTTTCTCGAAGGCACAGACAGGTGTTCATTGATATGTGTGGTTCAACGTCCCAAAACCACCATATGAATATGAGAGACGCCGTAGTGGAGGGCTCCGGAAATTTTGACCACCTGGGGTTCTCTAACGTGCCCCCAAACCTGAGCACACGGGCTTACAGCATTTCAGCCTCCATTGGAAATGCAGCAGCCGCAGCCGGGATTCAATCCCGCGACCTTCGGGTCAGTAGCCGAGTATTTTAGCAACTAGACCACCGCGGTGGGGCATAGAGAGGTGTTTAACTGATGCACTCATGTGTGCGATGCGTTGGTATCCACAATGTGTCCAGGATTTTGCGTGCTCTTTGGCCCTTCGCTCGCCCCGACAGCTTAGTGCTACTGAAAATGCGCGTGCACTTTCTGGCACAAGTTTTATACAATGAACAGGCAGGTGTTTTGTAGTGCTATTGTCTATTGAGTTATAGTGTTCCATTAAACACTTATTTATACATCTTCCGGTCCGCCCCACGTAGACCGTGCTACTGGTCAGAGGAAATTCGTAAACAACTTTCGTTCCACAAGGTAAATACACGGGGCCGTGTTTTACGCCACAACAATCTTTCTTTTGTTTTTGTTTTTTCATGGTAGAAGTGGCGCAGTAGCACGACAAGTTATGGTAACCGAGAAAATGACATCAGCTCTGTGTTTTCCTGCCACGCTCTTCAAGCCATGCGACATCTTGTGTACATAAAACATTATAGCAAACTTTCGCCTATGTTTTCTGTTTTTTTTTCACCCGTGGCAGAGGTACGGAGAGCATAGGACCTTCAACGGTGGGTCTGCTGCTGTTTTAAATAACTACTGTGGGAAACGTGCATTAACAATTCACCTGGTAGGAGAAGCTATCTTTGACGTTGTGGTGACAAGACTTAATAACAGAGGACTTCAAGCACAATACCGAAATGCCTATTTTTACTTCAAGAGCGCGGCGGAAAAATACGGGGATGACGTGATTTTCCCAGCACCCCGTAAGTGGTCTTTGGACTATTTCTGCCACGGAAAAATAAAAAAAAAAATATTGATGCGACGTAAAACTCAGATGCGTGTATGTACCTTGTAGAACGGACTCAGTTGTCTATGAATTACTTCGGACCAGTGGTATCGCCTATGTGGGCAGAACGGGAGATGTATTATAGGTGTTTAATGGAACAGAACTATTCACTAGGCGATGATAACGCAAAGCTCCTGCCAGTTCATAGTAAAACTTCTCACGTCCATTTTTAGCAGCACTAAACATTTAGTGCTTCATAAGGGCCCGAAGAGCACGCAAAATCCACGAAGATTCGTGAATTGCAAGGCATGGCCCACATAAGAACACCAGTGAGACATCTGTCTCGCTTCGAGAATGAGCTTTATTAGGGACCTAGCGGGGGGAGTGTACTAGCATTGTGCGGTCATGACTGCTTTTCGCGCATGCGCATTGTTTGTAAAGGCAAGAATGTACGATTTCAACAATTCAGTTGTAAGTCTGCGTTCGTCGTGTCTGCATCTTCTGTGGGGTCCCGTCTTATGCGCAGTTTAAATTTCAATATGTCCTACCAACTAGCCCAACAAGACATGCTTCTCGAGTGTGCAGCTGCTCAGGTATACCCGTGTCACCTGGATGCGTAGTGATACTTCGCAAATCAGCAGAAGGAAGAATTATGGTGTAGCGGGCATTTCACGTAGTACACTTGCAGTAGACAGTCTAGCAAACAGAAATCTTCAAACAAACTAAAATTTTAAACCTAATATCTCGCATTTCTCTTCTGCTCCTGCCTCTCTCTTATGCTGTCCAAATGTGCAGTCCTAGATATTGTCACGGGGTCGTGACAAGGCCGAAGACAGGAGACTTCGTGTTGCGATTTAACTGTTTATTTGGGCGAACCTGTGCCCAGTAAACGGAACGTCCAATTACAGTAGCAGTCTTGCACAGATAGCAGTCTCGGACTGATAGCGGCGAATGAAGCGTCGGCCTTCGTTCAACAACTGACAAGCGGCGAAGCGCGTCGGCATTTATACTCTTGCCGTCGAATGTTCTAGCGTTATCGCTGGCGGTGGCGTAGGTTCCAGAATAATCTGTACCGTTTGCACAGTGGGCGTGATCTTATCGAAATGATCTACTACAGTCCGGAACCTTCTCGAAAACTGCAGGCGCGGTTTGCGCTGAGAATCGTGTGGTGTTTTGGGACGATAACAAAAACTTGGGAAATGGAACGTGGCATTGCCCCCCTCCGAAAAAGGCATCGTCCCGATGCTTTAACTAAACATGAAGGTACG